CGCCCCAAGTCCTGTGTCATAGGAATCTGAAGGAAGTCGCTGATCTCTTTGCAAGCTTCCCGCTTCATGTTCTTGGAAAAGAACACCCGAGAGTTTTCGTTGCTAATGAGCTCCCCGGAGGCTGCGCAGAACCTTCGCAGGCAAGACGTGATGACTTCTGCTTGGTCCAAGGAGGCTTCAGCAAAAAGAACCAAATCATCTGCAAAAAAGATGTGGGTTAGCTTAGTTCCTCCCCGCACAAGCTGGACTGGTTTCCACCGCTTCTTGCTCAGCTCCTCCTCAATCAAGTGCCCCAGTCGTTCAATGCACAACGTGAAGATGTACGGGGAGAGATGGCAGCCCTGGGGTAGCCCTCTGGAAGGCTTGAAAGACTCCGACGACTCCCCATTCCATAGTATCTTCATTAACGCGGACGTTAGGCAGGCCACGATCGCATCGACGAACTTCTCCGGGAGACCTGCGGCAAAGAGAGTGCTCGTGATGAAGCTCCAGCTCAACCTGTCGTATGCCTTAGCCAGATCAATTTTGATCACCATCTGTGCTTTCTTCCCCACCTTTGTGTGCATGGTATATCTACCTCCTGCAGAATGATAATGTTACTTTGAATATTACGCCCCAGAACGAAACTCGTCTGATTTGGCTTGATGAGCTGGGGCATAAACGGTTTCAGACGGTTCGCTAAGCACTTCGTAAGCGTTTTGTAGGCCACGTTGCACAGGCGAATAGGGCGTAAATCAGCAACATGCTAAGGATTCCTCTTCTTAGGTATGAGCACCATTAGTGTCTCATTCACAGACGCCACCGTGGTGTATGGTAGCGACCGGCCGGTAATGGAAGATTATACGCCATAAATGAACGAGATTGGTCGAGTTGGTTTACAAGCGGATCAGATTGATGTAAGACCGGATAAAAAACAAAGGGAAAATGAGGATTAGAACCGGACCAGAAACATGTTTGGTTCGCTTCAATTCGGTTCAAATTTAATTTTCGTCCATTTTTTCTTCGCATTGAAAATAATTCATAGGATCAAAAACCGAATCCAAATATGTTCGATCTAATCAAATTTGATTCAAATATCGATTCGGTTTGATGTGAATTGGATCATTGCCTCGGGCATATGTACATCTTGTATATTTTCAACTCTCGATTCTAAACTCTTTCTCGTAATGCAATCATGAATTCATAAATAGAAAAAAGACAAATATATGCCAAGTGAAAGTGACAATGATGTTGCTGACCAGCTCCTAAATACAATCTGTCTCCAAACTTTTTTGTTTTAATACCGTTTAATAAAAATATCAGTTCAGACAACACATTGTCTATCAATACATTGATCAGTAACAGTACATTAACGAAGATGAGACATGTTGTTAGAGTCGTCATTTTGAGAAGTTCATAATAGAAAATTAGAAATGCCACTATTAGTTGATCTTCAATTTCCTTATTATCCTGAAGATCATTCCTAATTCTCGTGATAGACGATCCATCAAGACTTTTTTCTGTGTTATCTAAGAACACACATACATACATCTTAATATTCGATACTCCCGAAGTATGCAACACTCCTTTTGATATAACCGTTGAATATTTTTCTATCTATCTCAATGAATCAATATCATTGGATAAAGATTGACTAATCTAGTTCTAGTATTATTAACAGATTTAAACCCGTCATAGTACAGGTTCAACATATAATATATGATCGAGTTAATTAACAAACTTGTATTAAAGGCCCTATAATTGGCCGCTCCCAATCAGTACATGACATGTCATGTGGCTTAATTTCGTCAACGAGGGGGACAGGAATGACTACTTGGTTTAATTTCCAACTAAAGTCTTAAAGTAACAATATATATAAATCTCGACCAATGGGTTAAGTGACAAATAATAAAGAACAAAAAAATTTATTTATTTATATTGACCAATGTGAATGCGCGCTGGTAAGTCATTGGATATATGCACTGTGGAATTAGACAAAGGCCACTTGATTGATTAATTGGAGTTGTGTATTATTGGAATTCCACAGTATATATATCCAAAAAAGTCCAAACAGTTGTAAGTTTAGGAAAATTCAAAATTGTCCACTATTTCTTAGGAGATAGTTGTGCTGTTTTTTTTTTTGTCCTTGATTTAAGTAGATATTTGTTTCTTGATAAGTACATGTTTTTCTTTTATATTTTAAGTTGCCCGCTTATTTGAAACATTTCCCCGACAAGATACACTGTGGAGCACTGCAAGAACGGGTGACCTTATGGGAAGTCACTTTAATATGCATCCCAATGTGAAATTTGTGAGAGTCTAGACCCAAAGCGGACAATATCTTGTTGAAAAAAGATTCGAGATGTTACGTGTATTTTAATGAATAAATTATTTAGGTGAAACAATATTTTTTCCTGACAATTAGTTTTGAGTCCGATTCACACAACCTATTGTTATGGCGGGGGGCTTAGTGTCCACGACATAGCTCGAATTGCGTATTTCAATGAATTTGCCGGATATTCTAGGGACCTAATTTCTCATCATGAAAAAAAATATTATTCATAATAAATTTGCTGAACAAATGTACGTAGTCATTCTGGTAGAAACATCGTTTAAGCTATTTCCAATTAATAAAACTTAAACAAGTATTATTAATAATAATAATAATAAATTCTTATGCATAGTTTCTATACGATTATAACTAGAAAAATGAGCTATTATTGCGGGAAAATTTTATGTCATCAAACTGAAAAATGTCATTTGCTTTCAGATACATTATTATTTGAAGCAAAAGAAGAGAAGTATCAATCTTGTTAAATATGTTATATGTAGTCCCCCACTTGGACGAGCTTAATCAGTAATTTGGGCTTGTGGCCCTAAAATTTCAGCTGACAAGTAAGACTTTGACCCAAATAATACCCAATTTCTTTTTGCTTTTCCCCACTGTTTTTTTAAATGTGAAATACAATCCTAGCTGTTTTTGTGTTGGTCTTTGTTTTGTATGGAAAAATAGGAGATTATATTACCTAACAAACCTAGAATAAAACAGAGGTAGCCGTTATTTTTCTCTCAACAATAATGGCTGAACAAAACATTTTTTTTATTATGAGTAATCAAGTGGGCAGCTCACGTGCAAAATTTAGTAGGCCAAATACACCTCATCTTTGAGAGAAAACCCCACGTTTTTTCAAGCTCCAGTTATATATATATATATATATATATATCGACATGAGTAATTGAGTACACTAGGAAAGAATGATACAACCAAAGTTTTCGGTTCGCTTTCAATTTGATCTTTTTTGAACGGATAGGGTTACAAAAGTAGAAAACGTTAATCTAGAGTTGTATATCGCCGTTATATTAAAATGGTTATGAGTTTAATTTTCTCACGAAATTCAAAAGTGAGATATTTTTTACTAATCAAGACCTACTTTTCTAATTCTTTTTTCTCTTAATCGAGTCGTATTTTATTCGTTGTACACATAATTTTAAAACTTCTGCATATAAAAAATGTGTTAATTATTATATACACAATTATATTTATTTTGCTGTATATTTGAGCAAAAAATTAGCACTTCAAAACATGTGTTGATTGCAATACTATCACTGTAACACCATTATATGATAGTAGAATGATGATATCAATTTTTTTTCTCAAAGATAAGACTTCATACTATCAAACCACTCTCATACTTAGGGGTGTGCAACAGTTTGGTCCGCACCGGACCAAACCGATATTTGGACCACAACGAATATGATACGGTCAATGGTTCCCTAAAATTTACAAACTGAAGAAAAATGAATCAGATTCACACTTTCCTGCTCGGAGAGAAATGAAGTTGTTCGATTGAAGGAAGAGGAACGAATATACTCGAACTTTGTGAAAGGAGGGAATATGTGAGACTGAAGGGCGAAGGGTGACACTTCGCCTTTGAACCGCATTGAATGCATTAGCGGTCCAGTTCATGATCCTAAGATTTCTTTTACTATTAGATCGCGATTCTCATGGTTTTAGTTCGACTGGTACGAGGCTGGACCGTTGCACACCCTTGACTCATAACATATCATTATGAGACTGATAACATTATCATAAATACTGTCAAAATTGTAATAATATAATTATATGACAGTTGTATAGTGACATGAAAATATTTTACTGATTTTTTTTAAAATGAATGTCATCTTGGAAATCCACACTATGATAAGAATAAAATGACGTGGAAATATTTTGCTAAATTTTTGTAAAATGAATGTCATATTGGAAATCCACACTATGATAAGAATTTATACTATCTCACTACTGTCACACACATATCAAACCACTATGGTTTTTTTTATTATATATTTTTTAAGTTTTTGTACTTTGAGAAGTTTGATCTTTTTATAAGACGATGTGTGAGAAATTGAAACGTTAACATTATTTTATGAATGCGTGACTATTTAACGAGTAGATAGTATGATTACTAGCTAGTTTACTACCCAAACATAGTGTCATTAATAAATAAAAGAACATGTATAAAGTATAACTTTGTCTCTCAAATACCCAATCCAAACACGAACCGATGATTGTGTAGTGAGTAGGGATGTGCAATGGTTTGTACCGGATCAAACTGAACCGAATATAATACAATACGGTCCTGGTTCACATGAATTTACAATTACTGAAAAAATGATGGATCAAAATGATATTTGAATCGGGCCGAACCAGATCAAATGGACCGAAAGCATGATTAACCAATTCTTGATCATAGAATATCTTATACTTATGAACCGCAGTTCTTTGGTTGGACCGAACCGTTGCACCTAGCAGTGAGAGATAATATAAAATTCATGTAGTGCCCAGTGGGGATAGGAAGGGATTTTCCCGGAAACTTACAATAACGGGAGAGACATTTGAACAGATGAAGTAAAACAAAAAAGAACAAGGAAGACAGGCAATTACTTTAATCGCATGTTGTCCCGACTTTTCATTCATATCCCTCGTGGCCGTGGGTGGAATCCACCTTCCCCCCTATAAGTACCTCAAATCCCTCTTCCTGATGAACAGAGCAGACTCAGCGTTCTCCCTCCCTTTGATTTACCAGTTCATACTTTCTTCATACCCACAAACAGGAGAAGGAGAAACCCATTTCTCCCTTTATCCATTCAGCAGCTTCATCATTTTTAAGAAGATGGGGAGAGCTCCTTGCTGCGAGAAGATGGGCCTGAACAGAGGCCCGTGGACTCCCGAAGAGGACCAAATCCTCATCTCCTACATTCGAAAACACGGCCACAGCAACTGGCGCGCCCTGCCTAAGCTCGCCGGTAATTAATTACCCCAATTCACCTTCCATACACGGAAAAGAAAATGGAAACAAGTATATCCGAACAGGAAATCTGAATTGGGTCTCTCTGTTGAACTTTTAATTTGCAGGCTTGTTGAGGTGTGGGAAGAGCTGCCGCCTCCGTTGGATAAACTACCTGAATCCGGACATCAAGAGAGGCAATTTCACTAGGGAAGAAGAGGATGCGATCATCAACCTCCACGAATCGCTCGGCAACCGGTGGTCGGCGATTGCGGCGAAGCTGCCGGGGAGGACGGACAACGAGATTAAGAATGTGTGGCATACCCATTTGAAGAAGAGATTGAGGAACAAGAATAGTGAAGGAGGAATTTCCTCTGTTTCGGAGAGGCAGGGTACCGGGGCTCTGTCTCCTCAACCGTCGATCAGCGCCGGCGGTGATGTTTCGTCCGTGACCGAAAACACGATCTCCACAGCGGAGACGAGGAGTTATGACGAAACGCCGTCGCCCTCGTCGGTGGAGCAGTTTCCGTTGATCGACGAGAGCTTATGGTCGGAGCCTGAGGCAGGGGAACTGATGAATTATTCGCCGGAAGTTTCGGGGGAATACTTGCAGTTTGATGACCAATTTGATTCCTTGGACTTCTCCGTCATTGATCCTGTACATGGGATTCACGGTCCGAGTATTGACGACGCCATGGATTTCTGGTATGATCTGTTTGTCCAAGCCGGGGGAGTTGAAGGGTTCCCGGAGTTGCAGGGGCAGTGATGATGAAAACAGAGTAAACTCGTTTTTTGAGCAAAGGCGGATTCCATAACGTAGATTAATCTTAACTTTCTGCCTCTGGGATGCTATACACAGTTTTGTAAAGTTGGAAGACGTTCAGGTTAGATTCGGCATGGTTGTTTCTTCTCTGACACATGAACAAATGAGATTGTGACAGATGATGAACAAAAAAATTGACAGACTTTTCGCCATATTTATGCTGTTCTTCTGTTTATTGTTGTGGATGATGTATGAATAGTTAATGACCAAAATCTCAATTACCAAACATCTTTTTTAATCACATTATAAAAAAAACATCTTTTTAACCATCTCAAGATAGACGGTATATATGTTGATTATATGCTTTAACGGATTGGAAAATCGACACTGCAAAAAAGTAAAATACATATATATTTATGTGGTTAAAAAATGTGAGTAACCTCATATACCGTGACTTCCTGTCCATAGTAGATCATTTGTCTTCAAATTATAGCAACAATCTCTGTTGTCAAACAATGTTGCTCTGGCCTTTCATTTTGAATTGGGTGGCAGTCGGAGCCTTGATTAGATGGAGGTGTTGCCGTTTGCTTCTCCTGGATCGATAGATTAATCGGTTCATCTAAAACTTCACTGTAAGCGTGTTGGCAACAAAAATGTGCAGACCAAACTTGGAGAGAAAGTCATCGAATCATCCAGGACACAAAGCATTTGTAAAGATGCATGCAAATCGGTGAGGTGAAGGGATGAAATGTGTTTGCAACAAATTGGATGTATGTATGTTTTTTTCATGAAGTGTCAGGCATTTTGAAGTGCTTGGTGTGCTCGTGGAGGACGAAATTCAATGTCTGAAATACCAATTGATTGTTGTCAAAAAGTTGAGCAGATTGTGGATGATTGATTTGAAAATCTTTGAGAATATGGGCCATCCATTCAAATTTTTGCTATAGCTAGAGTCATGGCATGTATTCTGCTTTGGTTGACGATCGTCATATTTTATCTATTTTTTCGATTACAAAGAGATAAAGAGAAGGTCTCGAAAGGATGAAATAGTCAGAGTATTTTCTTGCTTCCAAACACCCTTCCCAATCTAAGTCGGTATAAACATGGAGTTGGTAAGCTGCACTATAGGAAAAGTGATGTTTGGAGCTTCGAGGAATTACCTCAATTGTTGGGGGTGGTGTAATTGATGTTTGGTCTTGTTGTTGTTAAGTAGATCTGTCTACAAATTAGTCGCCTGTAGTGCATGGAGTCGATAGAAAATGTTCCATCATGTTGGCTGAGATGAACCTTGTAATCTGTAGGAGTGGAGATTAATCACACATTGTGCAATCTTGCATCATTCCGGATTTTCATTGCATATATGTGTTAAGAGATGTCAAAAGAGGACAAATATAAGTAGATATTAATACAAATTATGATAGAATTAATGGGTTGAGAATAGAGTGGGACGAGGCGGTACAAGTCGGAAGCAATAGCCATTGCTCGTACACACTACTCTCAATCAGATAATACCTGCCCAAACATATCGAAGCATACTCGATCAGGTCACGTAGGTCGGATTAGAGATTTCCATCACTAATTAATGGTAGGGCTGGTTATCAATATGTACCCATCCTCCCGTGGAGCCGAAGCGAAAGAGAGTTCAACGTTAAATGATGAAGTCGGCTATAGATTTAGACTGATTACTACCAGTCTATATGATGATTGCGTAAAACCTTTCTGTCCAATTGGTATCGTAGCATGCTGATTTTTGTACGGATTATATTTGGTTCAATTGCGGAAGTGGACCAATAGTTTTTCAAAGCTTGCGGGCATGTGGTCCCTACTTACTCTGACTTTCCTCAAAAGAGATTTTTATTTATTTATAATTTAAATATTTTCATGGGTTTCATATCAGATCAAGTCAAACTACTGGGTCAACAATAGTGACTTTCTTGGTGCCTTCTTAGTTACTAGTTACTCATTACCTCTTTCCGTCCTCCCACTCACAGTCTTATTAGTTAACTTCTACCTCATTACTTAGCCAAAGTCGTTATCTTGATATAGTTTATAAATAGGTTAATAACATTGTATGGAATTGTGTCTTATTTTGCCTTTTATTATGGGTTTACTGTACGATTTGTAGGTCGGCGTAACAATAAGGTAGTCCATTTGATGGCTAGAAAGGCTCTTTCATTGTTCCCCACTATGAGTCGTTTGTTTGATTTTCAGGCCTAGCTGAATTCCAGGATGTAAATACATTTTTTGTGAATCAATATATAATTATCTTTTGTAGAAGAAAGGTTAATACCATTTTATGCTTCTTATATTGCAAATTAACAAACATACATCTCTATTATATTTTTATACAAATATATATCTTTATAATCAAAATGTAGCAAACATAATCTTCGATTCAACACTTTGTTAACAAATAGGTTAAAAAATGACGTAAAGGACCCTCACTTATAAATAATCTTTTTTTATTTCTGCAGAAATAAAAAAAACAGTAAAAATAAATAAAAGGGAAAGAGAAAGGAAATTTTAAATTAAGTACCAAAAAATAATTAAATAGTTTATGTCTTATTTATTAAAAAAAAATGATGTAATAAGTGAGAGGCAATCTGGTCATCTCATTTAACGGTCAATTAAAGAAATTTTAGAAGGAAGGGTACGTTTGTTACGTTTCAATAATATAGAAGTACATATAATATATGCTAAAAAAATGGTAGAGTGATATGTTTATTAACTTCCAATAGTAGAAGACTATAAATTGCTATTAACCCTTTTTAAATTACATTCCAATTTTTATCGAAATTAAGTTTTTTTTTCGTTGCACACCAAATACAATGGAAAAAGTATCTGATTTGGCATTATTGATAGGATAAACCCGCTAGTGTATTTACTATTTAAACCTTTCTTACTCGTTATAACATCACAATAACATCCAATTTTCTGCATCATAAAATGAAATACATATATAAAATGTTACGCATGTAACTTTGTCCTTGGATTCCGTTAATTATTGCGATTGTGTGTGATTATTTTGGTTGAATTATTAAAGACTTTGCCTTTTTAAAAATGGTGAAATGTTTTTTTGTCTTTTATTGTTAATTTTTATGGATAGTTTATTTCATGGATTTGAGGCATGAATTTGGATTCAAATTCATATAATGAACATGAATTTAACATAAAATTCATTGTTTGCTCCATATTTTGTAGAAAGGAGCAAATCCGTGGAACCATTGAGAATCCAAATTTGTTGGCCTGGACATGCAAATCCCAAATATGGGTGTGGGATATTTAACATGATCATAAATTCGTGGGCCACATGACAATAATTACTTATATATATCTTCTTGCACTAATGATATCAAATTAAAATAAGGACAATAAGATAATTTACATATTAAAGCTACACAACCACAACAGTAAATCCATGAACAAAATCCACCAAACAAACATTAAACTTTTCAAATTCATAATCAAACGAATACATAACAAATCCAATGTTTTCCAAAATCCAAGTTTTGACCCAAAACCCTCACATTTGTACTTAATTTAACCCTTGAGTGGACTGCGTGGAAAATAACAAAGTCATTGGTCGTCTTGCTTTAATGAAAAGGATAGAATTGCAAGCCACGGGTTCATAATAGAGATATGTGACACCTAAAAGAAAAGAAAATATTTTTGGAAAGATCTCTACAAAGATAGTCGTCATGAAGATTAAATAGAATTTGTGGAAACAAAATAAGGAATATTCATAACATAGGAAAAACAATACATTTCTGAAAGTGAAAGGTATCTATTCTCTTCCTCCTGGACCATTTTTCTTATTTATCTCTATTTTTATTATTTTAATGTATGATTTTAATATTGTTAAGCAATGTACTTATGATGTATTCACTACCAATACCAATAGTAGCATTATCCCTAGACAAATATCTTCTACTCATGAAAGCAGGGTTTGGAATTGAGTCATACAAACTTTTTTTTTTGCAAAATTATTCAGACTACATATGCATAAGTCAATCAACCTAACATTATCCTAGCATCATATCTACTAAAATATTGTTTGTCGCACCGCTCTGAGCCTAAAGAGGGGACCGGATCAGGTCAGTAACTCTCCTATCAGTAACTGTCAGTAATCCAATCATATGTTCCCACGTGTCAGCCTTTTCCTTTTATTTAAATTAAACACGGAGGGGCACTAAGGTAAATTGCACCCCCTTTTAATGATGACGCTGACGCTCTGACGCAGACTTTTTGACCAGACGCGGATCCCACTCCCCCATCCCACATTGGTTCCCCTCTTTCTCACTCTTTGTTTTGTTATTATAAGAAGGCAAAATACACTTCTATGTCCATAACTTTCACGTTTGTGCCAAATATATCCATAACTATCGAAATACACAAAAAAATCCAAAATTTGGATGGTAGTGTGACAAATCTATCCATTTCCGTTACAAACTTTAACGCCGTTAGTGACGCCGTCAGTTATGTTAGTTATACGCTGACTAGGACGCCAAATCAGTGCACACGTCATCAAAAATCAACACCAAATGACACGGAAATTACACATCATATTTACTTACATATATTTAATTTTAAGAAATAAAAATAAAAAATCAATTTCGTAACTCTTCCCCTTCTGCCCCAACTTCTCCTCTCCGCCCCATCTTCTCCCCTCCGCCTACTCCCACCGCCAAAGCAGACATCAAATCCGCCACCACCCATTGTCGACATCTATCCGCCACCACTGCCCACTCCCACCGCCGACATCAAATCCGTTACCACCGCTCACTCCCACCCCCAAAATAAAATCCGCCACCAATATGTTGAACTTGTTGGCCTTCTAAACACCCCTAATCGCGGCAACTAGCGGCGGCGCGACGGAGTAGGAAGTGCCGTCACGAACTCACAATCCGAAACCCGCCAAAATCAGCGTTCTTCTCCCGAAGATGCTTACTCCTGCAGTCTCATTCCCTGTCGATGCTGGAGTTAAAGGTAGGACAGGTGGAGATCGATTGAAGCAGACCACGACGGCAATGATGCGAGCGACAAGGGCATCAAAGACGGTGATGCGACTTCGAGGACTTATGGTGACGGCATCGAGGATCTGCTTCGCACCCGCTAGCTCCATCGCCGCTAGCTCTCGCCCCTGCTTCCAGTCAACACCAATTCCAAAATCGCAGACAAAGCCCCCGCTGGCGATGGCGTCTATCCCAATCTGAACCCAAACTCCCTATTGACTCTAATGACGAC